CACTTCGAATCAACAACGTATCACTCGAGGGATAGACATTTCCAGAGAAAAGACCAAGATGAGAAAAACCCATAACCAGAAGAACTGAAGATGAAGACTCAACCAAGAGAACGAAGCAAGATGACATCATTTGCAGCAAGGACTCGACGATTTCACAGAATGAGAAGAATTGATATTCCCAGTGAAGAGTTCCTATTGTGACAAGAAGAAACCAAGATGAAAAATGGTGCTTTATTATCTTTGCTTCATTCTCGTTTCACAACAATGAGCAAAGAGGGGCAGCTGTAAGCACCATTTTCATTTTTTTTCCACCAAACTTCCACTATCACATTTATTTCCACCCACTCCACCATTCATGTGTTTCATACATCCTCCAACACATCCCACTCACAAGACAAAACAAACCAAATCCATTAAGCATTTATTTAAACAAATCAAATCCAAAAAATGGATATGCTGCCCTACCCATTATTCAAACATTAGTGGAATGAACACTACTCAGCAACTATAAGTGAACAAGGGGAAATCAACGAAAGGGGGGGTTAATCAACAACAGAAGAAAATTCATTGTAAACAGTGTAAAGGAAACTCTTCCTCATATTCGTGGAGAGAAGTAATTATAACAAGGGGGCAGAGATATATTTGAAGGGGGAAAAGAAAAAAATGAAAGAAGGGAGGGGGTTCTGGTTCTCACGCACGTAGGTTTCTTGGTTAAAATACCAAGCAAAAATTTAATGCTTCATATATGGAATATTAGTGAAGCATACCCTCTTGGTTTGTATTATTTTAATTTGGTCATTAATGAGGTTTTCATTATTTTCATTTCAAGTCTATTAGTTATTGATAATTTTAATTTCGTCCTTACTTGTTTATATGAATAATTATGCTTATAGTTGAGATCTAACTATCTTACTTTAATTTATTCATGTTTTAGTATTATACGTTTTTTATTAATTCATTTTAGTTTTTTTTCATATTATTTGATTTTGATCATTTTATAATTATGATGTGTATTTTTATTTAAATCTATAATATTGTTTTGTGAGTTATTTTCATTGTTAGTATATATATTGTTTGATAGTTATTATTGTGGTTGATGTTGATTTGTAGTTATAATTACAAGTTATTATTAATATCCTTTAGCCTTCTTAATCACCACGTATGTGTAAATAATTTTGTTTGTAATATTGTTTAAGGTTTCCATATTATCATTGGTGTTTTTTTACACACATATATATATATATGCAAGACTAGAATATTCGGAGGATTCTTCTGACCAAAATAGAAAATATATCAAAAAACTAAAAAGTATAATAAATAAATAATAAATACAAAATTTACATATAATTTAGAATTTCTAATTGTACTTAGAATTGTATAATGTCTAATTGTAATTTGTCAGCAATTGTTTTTTTTTTCTTCAAATTCAAAGAAATTCTTTATACATAGGTCATCGATTCAGCATTGGAAAAAGGGGCTCAAATCGTTTTATCGACATGAGTGTTTTATATGGAAAAAACATTTTTGTTTTGAAAATCTTTCTGTATTTAGTAAATAGTAGAAAGAGTACCCTGCTGCATCGGAACTTCAAACGGTTTGGCCTTAACCATGTTAATGGTCCCAGATTATTGGTTAATATAGAATCAAAGTCGATATATATATATATATATATGCATATTTGAATATTTACATGTATATATATATATATATATATATATTAATGTTTTATAATTTGTATATAGTAATGTATTTTATACATTTTATTGAATATATGTATTTATTATATATACTTATTAACACTTATATATTTTTTACATATGAAGTAGTTATATACATATATAACATATTCTCATTTTTTATAATTATGTATCTATTTATTTACCACATTTTGATCTTCATATACTCATGTATGTATTATTTATAACTAATATTTTTGAAATATCACAAAATATTCATTTTACTTACTAATATGTTTAATATCACTTATCCGAATATATTCAAGAAAATGTATTTGCAGAATGTGTGTGGAAAGTATCACTTGATCGAAATTGTACAATCCAATATAACGTTTTAATGAAATGGTAATATTCAAAAAATGAACCATATTTTAACTTTATATTAAATTCATGATTTTCATCATTACGACAATATGTAAGCGACACATTATCAGTTTTGGGTGCTGTAGGGGTGCTAATCCTTTCCGCGCGTAACCGACTCCTGAACCCGTTTTAATCGAATCTTTGGTAAACGCATACCAGCTTTTGTCTTAAAAAATGATTTTTCTTAAAATTGTTTTTAAAAAACGTTTTTAGGTATTCGACCTACCTAACCCAAAGGTTGATGGCGACTCTTTTCAATTTAATTCAAATTAATCCAAAATCACCCAATTTTCCAAAATTAAAAGTCGTAATTATTTTTAAAATAATTAAACGATTGTCCCGCCGAAAAACGGTTACGGTAGATGTATAATTTTTTTCATTATTTTTTTTAGGTGTTTGGTCTGTCATGACTATTAAAAAAATATGTTATTTGACATATGTTATGCTTATACAATTTATTTTTTTTATAAAAATAAAAAATAAAAAAATTGTAATTTATTTAAACAAACTAATTCTGTTAAATTTAAAAACTCTAAAATTTTTAAATTGAATCCTTTTTATCCATGTTGGCTGCCGTCTTGATTTTTAAAGGAGCAAGGCACACTGAGTATTAAATATTCCCTGAAGCCTAGGCGTAAGGCGTAATCACGCACGTTTTGTATGTGACGTGCGCCGTTTGTGCTAAAAAATTCTAAATAAGTCTGGTAAATATCTATACACATTACTCATTGATGCACTCTTAAAATACTTATTATTATTATTTGTTTTTGAAACGTTAGTTTCCCAAGTACAGACATAGACATAGACATAGATATAGAGTTAGGGTTACACTATAATAAATTAATAATTATATGTTTAAGCATAAAGAATTTAATGTATAATTAAGTTATTATTTGATTTTTGAATTAAATTATATTTTTTATAATATATAATATTAATTTTAAAATAAAATATTGAAATCTTTTATTATTTTATTTAAAAAGTTATATGAACTTTTTAGTATATACAATTTTCACATTATAAGTAATGAATTTTAATGATTTATTTTTAAAATTGATATAAGAATATGAGTATATTAATAAAAATTTAGTTGAAAAATATTAATTGTGTAAATAATTTTTTAATGTTATAATTATATAATATTCTAATTATAAAATTAATTATAATCATAAAAATAATTATTAAGTAATTATAAATATAATTGTATATTTCTTATTTATATATTTTAAATATTTTATATTTATAAAATAGTAATTATTAAATAAAACAATCTAGGAGGGCAAAGCAAAAATCAGATATAAAAAAAAGTAAAGACTAATGGAATATTTAATAAAGAAAGGGTAAATAATGACAATAGTACATTTTATTTTCAATCTGACCGACACTAATTTTTTAATTAAATGCATTTGATACCCTGTTCAAGTACCTCAGGGGTTAACTTCCGTTAACCATACGTGGCAGTCAAAACTTTTTTAAAAAATCACGTCAACTCTTCTTCTTCTTCTTATCCACACTGTTTCTTCTTCTCCACATTGTTTCTTCTTCTTCACCACCATAATCCAAAAAGAGAAACCACCAACTCCAACTCCATTACCGTTAAGGGTTTAGAGCTCAAATATAAGCAGTTTCTTTTCAATCTTCACATCAAATATTTACCAATTTATTTGCAATGAACAAAAGAATATTACTGTACTTTAAACATGGATTCCAGGAGAATAGTATGAAATGAACTGAGTTGCAAATGGCTGAGAACAGTATGGTCGGTTACATTCCCTGCCGGGCTCGTTGTCGATCATATTCAAACGGAGCAGCAAATCTGGAAGAGAAATTCCGAAGCAAATCGTCTCCTCCTTTATCAGAACCATTATCGAAGTTGAGAGCATAGCTACAAGGATCATACTGAAACCTGTTCTTTTGACACTTCGGCTTATGGCAATATCCACTCATCATCCTAATAAAATTCTTCCACTTGGGACCTGCTACTTTTTCCGAGACTTGTTTCAGTTTGTTCAATTTCGGTTTCCGCCATGTCCCCGTCTACTCTTCACCTCTCTAGTGCAATAACGTATCGGATTCATCGACGTCGTTGAATCTCCGCCTTTTGAAGCAGAATAGATTGAAACAACTACATCGTTTACCCCAAAATTGGTCTTCATATTCAACGTGAACGACATCCAGTTCTGCTTGCATGAAGATCGGTTTCTCTTGAGAGTTTGCCATGGAATACTGAAACCAAAAGAGAAAAAAAAGGTTATGGTTTTGTTTTGATTGGGTTAAGTGTAAAATGAGGCTTTTATATGGAGAATTCTGTGGTAGATGAAGGGGAAGATGAAGTATGGTATTGGACTTGGAGTTGGTGGTGGTGGTGGTGAAAAAGAAGAAGAAACAATGTGGGGTTGTTCTCAAGCGGGGAAGAAGAAGAAGAAGAAGCAGAATTCTTGCATGAACATTGATTTCGAGTTGGTTCTCAAGTGGGGTTGTTCGCTGTTCTCAAATGGGGAAGAATTCTTGCATGGTTTTAAGCTGCTGAAGAAGAAGAAGCAGGTGCTGAAGGCGAAGAAGAACTATGTTGCACGGATACGGATACGGGGATGGATACGGGGACGGGGATGGGGACGGGGACGGGGACGGGAAACGATAATTTTTAAAATTACAGGGTACGGGGACGGCAAGGGTACGGCATATAAAATAATTTTAAAATTATAAATATATATAAAAAGTCATAAATAATGTCAAATATTAAGACTCAAACAACAATATTAAGTTTATAACAATAAAATCCATAAACAAACAACAATATTAAAATGTCAAATTTCAAGATTCAAACCAAAATATTAACTCTAGAATAATAAAATCCATAATAAAATCATAATATTAAAGTATCAAATCTTAAGACTCAAATCAAACATTGTTAACATCTTCTGAGATTAATTGACTCTCTAAATCCGACTCATCGAGCGAGAGTTCGGCAAACTCTAAATATCCAACATCTCCCAATGAATCAAAAGCATCTCCACAAACATCCACATCTGGTTTTTCATCCTCATATTGACTAGAACTCCTTGATAAAAGACGAAGATTGTAGTGGATGTAAACTAAATCTTCGGCACGACTCGGATTTAACTTATTCCTCCTAAGTGAGTGAATAAAAGAATAAGTGCTCCAATTTCTTTCACAACAAGAGGATGAAGTAGGTTGTCCAAGCACTTTGAAAGCCAAAGATTGAAGCAATGGAATTTCGGCACCAAAGTTAGCCCACCAACTTTTCAGATCCGAAATACCTCTTGTAAGAGACATCAAATCTTCAAAAGGCCCGAGCTTAAGTGAGAAACAAGCAAATTCATCCAAGACTTTGTCATAATCATCATCATTTGGAAATAACCTACGAAAACATTTCATTCTCTCTCGAGATATTTCACCATCTCTATGAGGAGCAACTCTACAAGGATCCTCACTTAGCCAACCATCACTATAAAACCTTCAACATATTAAAAATAAAATTACGCATAGCATCAAAGAACTAGGAGATGAAAATATAAAATTCAAAACTAACAAAGTTATGTATGTACCTTGGATTTAGTGAATGAGCTAGGCAATGAAGAGGAGTATAACTCTTTGTCCAACGAGCTATAAGAACCCATAAACAAATGATAAAAGGACTGAAGTCTGAAAGAGGAGTTTTCCTTCTTGTAAATTTCACACTTTACTTTCTCAATCATGGAATCCCACAACTCATATACCAAGTGAAGACATGGCTTATCAGTGTCACATACTCTAAGCATGTCATAGATGGGCTTTGTAAAATCAAGGATGTAAGCTACTTTATCCCACCAATCATCACTCACAAGCTTTTCTTTCACAAAGTTTGCTTTCACCATATCATCCTCCCTATAAGAATTCCATTCATCACTAATGACCATTGCTTGAAGTCCCTGTTTGATGAGCTTAAACCTCTTAAGCATCACAATGATCGAAGCAAAACGAGTATCGACAACTGAAAGTAACCTAAGAGGACTAAATCTTTGAAAGATTACCAATCTCATGTTGTGGTTCATGATGAAATTCTTGATTTGTACGGCATCCCCATGAATATCAGTAATCCAATGGCACAAGTCATATGTTTCCTCATTTCCATCGACATTTTTTTCTGAACAAATATTCTTCAAGGCAAGATTAAGTGTATGGACAACACATGGTGTCCAATAAATATGAGGATACATGCTCTCAATAATCTCTCCTGCCCCCTTGCAATTAGCTGCATTGTCAGTAATAATCTGCACCACATTTTGATGACCAACCTCATCAATCACTTCTTTCATCAAATTAGCAATGAAAAACTTATCTTTAACTTCACCAAAACAATTCACAGCTTTAAGAAACATAGGCCCATTTCCAGAAGTATCCATGAAATTAATGAGAGGCTTTCTTGTTGGATCACTCCAACCATCACACACAATAGTTAACCCTTTTTCTTGCCATGTTGCTTTAATCGGTTGCAAGAGCTTCTCAACATTATTTTTTTCTTGTTGGAGCAAAGTGGTTTGCAATTTATTATAACCAGGGGGAACATAACCAGGAATATTGTGAGTTGTAGCAAAAGTGAAAGCCCTATGATAATGAGGATTTCTAGCAAGATTAAAGGGCAAACCACCGGTGTAGAACATTCTTGCAATTTCTTCATCTAATTGGGCTCTCGTATTCATGTCGAATGCTCTAGCAAGAGGTGACAAGCTAGGTTTTCTCTTCTTAGAAGAAGAATCAATCTCAATTCCAGCTGAAGATTGAGAGGGCAAAGAAACTTCTCTAGTTACTTCTTGTTTCTTTCTATTCTCCCACTCTTCTACCAACCTTACCATTTCAAGTTTTTGATTTCTAGTTACCTTTTTGCAAATTGCAACTCCTTCACCTGAAATTTGAAGCAAATGTTCCTTTATCCTAGTATAGCTTCCATTACGAGTTTCGCCACAAATGTTGTATCGAAAATTCCAAGTTCCTCCAACAGTCCCTCGCTTTTCTATCTTTCTCACGTAATTCCATAATGGAGATAAATTCTCATTTTGGGACGTTGAAATTGACTCGCTCCCACTATTACTTCCAGTCCCACTACCACTTTGAGATGCCATATTTATACTAAATTAACCTGTTTACATAAAAAAAATAAATGAGTTTAAATATCATGCATCAATTGAATGTAATTGAAAACAAAGCATGCAAATATAAAAGGCGAATATAAAAGGCGAAAAGATATGTGAATATAAGTTACATATAGACTACTATTAAATAACTCATGTAAAATTTATTTTATATAATTTATGTATTAAATAATAATATTTTAGAATAACTCATGTAAAAGGCGAATAATAATATTTTATATAATATGTTCTAAGTACATTATAAAATGATAACCATGTGCTTCCATGATAAAAAGCTATGTTCAGCCGTATGTACTAGAAAAATGAAAACCAATATAGAAAGCAACTAAATGTGTATTGAGTAATCATGTAACCTTGAAGTTATACAAGACATTGCATCAAAAGTTACAAAAAAAAGAATCTTGATAGTTCCAATACATACACGTATTATAATTATATATGCTCCATGGTTCAGTTGTTTAAGACGCAATAGTGTGGTGAGCAACTCTTTTCAGGCTCGTGAGTTGTTAATATTTATAAATTCTATCCGTTTTATACCTTCAGAACACGCATGCTGTTAAGTGAAAACGAAACAGATATTACTAAATTCTAAATCTCCTTGAAAAAAATTAAAAAAAGAAAAATTTATGAATTCCAAGTGAAGCCTGAAGTCTGCAATAGCAAGTCAGCCAACATAATCAATAAATTTCAGAAATATGTGCACAATTATGTTCTTAAAACAGTACAACTTAGACCCGACTCCTATGGTTTGACTCCCAAGTCCTAAACATCTTATATTTATGCCTTCACAGGTTCTTTCACTTCCTCGCGTTGTAAAGGTTTCAGATTTGGTTTCCATTTTGCAAAGCAATAAACATAACGGCTTTCCCGTAGCTAAACTTCCATTACTGTTTTTAGTTAAATATCAGCAATTTTGAAGCTTGTTTAATTTCACCCTACCTAGGCGATTGATCACACAAGAAATGGAGAACCACTTGTCATCGGAGACAGCAGATATTGGCACAAAAAAGATACAGCTAGAAGCAGTTGCTGGCGATTGCTGTCGAAAAGCTCAAGAAGCAGAAGCAATTGTTGCCGAAAGTTCCAATAGAGAAGTTGTATTGTTGCCGAAAGCTCCAGCCTTCAATTAGGTTATGCTTTTCTTTTTTTTTATTGTAAAATGACGGAAATATCCCAGGGACGCATGTGAAAGTCACATGCCGTCCCCGAAACGTCCCCAAGATTCTGTGAAACGTTCCCGGTGTCGTTCAGCCATACCCTGCCACCGTGGAACGTCCCCGGTACGTACCCCAGCCGTCCCTGTGTCGTCCCCGTACCAGGGACGTATCAGGTACTTCAAACGGCACAAGTGTGCCGTCCCCGTGCTTCCTTGAAGAAGAAGAATAAGCTGTTGAAGAAGAAGACCGTGAAAAGCACACGTGTGTTTTTTTTTTGAATTTTTAATTGCCACATCATACTTCCATTAATGTGTTAACGGACATTAACGACTGAAAGGCTTAAATTGAATGAATCAATAACGTAAGGATTATGCACACCTAATTAAAAAAAATTGGTGCCTAAAAACGCTAAGACCGAAAACAAAAGATACTATTGGTATAGTTTACTCATAAAAAAAGTGATGGGAATTAGGGACAATAAACGGGCGGATTAAGTGCGGATACTCCCTCCCCATCTCCATACCTACCTAATATTTTAAAATCCACCACCCACCCGTCACTCATGATGGGTAATTTTTTTCAAATCCACACCCGCCCAAACGGGTATATTCTCAAATCTATCCCCACACCCGCCCAAACGGGTATATTCTCAAATCTATCCCCAGACCCACTACCCAACTGGAGATGTACCCGGCTAAACCCGCCTGACAGTAACCTTAAGTTATACATAAGCAACAAACATAAAACAAACACGTTCATTAAGAAACATAATAAAATAAACCAATGATTATCTGAGTTAACTGTTAACATAGATCTTAAAGTACATAAAACACCATCATAAAAGATATAATTAAAGTTTATAAACATAAATGACAAACACATAATATTTTTGTTATTTGACACACATAAATGACAAACCCTAAAATTATACCTAAATTTATAATAATCCAAAATTTAATGGGTATTTAGTGGGCAGGTGGATATGGGGAGCGTAGATGCAGGGCGGGTAAGGTCTCAAACTCATCACCGGCCCACTACCCGCGACGGGTACCACTTTCTAAATCTACACCCGCCCACTACCCACTAAAGTTATACCCATCCCCGCCCCAATTGGAACGGATACGATGCAGAATCTACGAAATTGTACCCGTTTATCATCTCTAACGAGAATGAGATAAGACAGCAAGATTCCACCTATGATGGAAATGTTTTTGTTTTTTAAGTACATTATATTTGAAAATGTATATATATAATTTCGAAAATAATAAAATTTTAGATGTAGTATTTACTATTTTAAAATAAATTATTTATTATTAAAATATTAATTAGTATATTAAGAAATTTAACTTGATAGTTTGATTTAGGGGTTAGCGTTCGATCTAGTCGAGTCAAAAAATTTTAAGTTATTTAAGCTGACGAGTCTTATTTTATAACTCAACCTTGATTTAAAATTTTTCGAGTTGAGTCGAGTTTTTGAGTTTCTGTTTAAATTTAATTGTAAATATTTATAATATTATGATATTAATGGATTCTAATTTAAATGGTTTTAAATAATCATATACAATTTATATATATATATATATATTTCTTCAGAAGAATTCATATGTGATATACATATATCATACAAAGTTGAGGGACTTGACTCAAACTTGAAAAATCAATCCACTAATTCCAAAAATTTTCAAGTTATTCGAGTTATATTTTATAATTTGATTTGAATTTGAAATTTTTTCGAGTTGAATTGAATTTAGAAAATTACAATTTTAAGTTAATTTGAGTTAAATTTTTTAAAATAAAGTTGAGTTGAAAAAATTATTTTTTCGAGTAAAATTAATTTTTTCTTACTCCTAGTTCGTCTGTTAAATGAAATCGACAAAGTTTCATTTATGAAATGATTTTATTTTATTTAATATGTCAGACATAAATATCGCATTAAAATATATAAAAAAAAATTGAAGGATCAGAATTATACAACTTCTAACACTATAATTATATATATATATATATATTTCATTTATAACATTTAAGTTCAAGTTGATATCATGATTTTATTATATATGATGCATAATGTCGTAACCTGTTTTCGTCCGGGTACGAAATTTTTTTTAATTTATTTAGCGGGAAAATTTAAAATGAATAAATAAATGATTTTGATTAAAAAAATATTTTGGGAGTCGTCATTGACCTTTTTGGGTTAGGTAGGTCAAATACCTAAAAACAATCTTTTAAAAATAGTTTTGAATAAAACATAATTTAAAAGATAAAACTGATCTGCATATAACCAAAAATTTTAGCAAAAAAGGATTCGTGGTCGATTACGTTTAGAGAATGATTAACACCCCTATAATGCCCAAAATTGGTACTCATTAACTATATATTGTCTCTATTAATTCATAATTCTGTTAAATTTATTAATATAATTTTAAGAAAATATATTAATAAATATATATTTTTATTAAATAAGATATTTATTTATTTAAAAATATTAAAAAAGAGCTTCTATGTGCTTTAAGACAGCTCCTTTCTTAATATTAAAAAAATAAATAAATATGAATAAAACATTTATCTAAAAAAATAGATTTATATATTATTTATTAAAAGTGAAATATTTATTTTTATTTAAAAATATCAGAAAATGAACATCAAGTTGCTTTAAGACTGCCCTTTCTTAATATTGATAAATATATATTAAAATATGATTAAAATGATTTAAAAGTAATATATTAAATTTATAAATAGGATTTTAATAAAATAAATAAATATTATTTATTATATATATATTTACATGACTAAATAATAATAATAATAATAGTAATGATAATTAAAAAATAAACATATAAAAGTAAAATATAACTAAACAACGTTTTAAAATAAATAAAATTAAAACTATAGTATTAAAATGTAAAAAGTAATAAAGCTTGTAAAATAAATGAAAATATTAAACTTAGGGACTAAATTATAACATATCAAAATTAGATACCTTAATTCGTAATTATTTATTTAAAATTACAGTGGCTAAACATGCCATTTTACCTATTAATTAATTTAGTGACTAAATTAAAATTATATCCAATTCGAATACCAAATTAAAATAAATTAAAACATGCTTTTGGGACTAAAATATTATTTAACAAAATTATAATAGTCATTTCAGTTATTTTCCCTAAAATTATATATAAGTAAATTAATGACTAAATTATAAAATAAACAAATTAAGAGGCCGAATTAAAATGATTATAAATTTGATTCTAGTGACTATAATGTAAAATTACAAAACTAAGGGACTGCGGACGGGGTTTGTCCTTTAACAAATTACACACAGACCCCTCCCCAAAATGACGCCATTCGGGGAGGGGTATTAAACCCTTTTTAACCGGCCTAAATGGCAGGTTTTCTCATTTGTCTCTTTTCCTCTATCTCTCTCTCAAAAGTGAGAGATTTTTCTCTCTCGCCTCTCTCTAAAACTGAGAGAGAGACAATCGGCTGACAATCGGGATCCATCACCGACCACCACCGCCGGCCACTGCCGGCCACCGCTTTACGGTGGCCAGAACTCCCAAATTACACCAGAATATAGGTTTTTACCTCCTAAAGCTGAATGCAACCTTTATTTTCCCTAAATCCCCTTAAAATCCCGTAGATCTAGGAAAATCGTAGCGTTTACCTCATTTAAAACAGCGTCTCCGGTGACGATTGAACTCTCTTTGTTGGTAAGTCCTTCGTTCTCACTCTGTTTTATCTCAATATTTGGTCTCTATTGCTGTTGTGTGGTTATGTTTGCTGGTTTTTGGTTCGTGTTGTTGTACTCTCGGA